GTCGTGTAACGCCGGCTGCACAGGCAGAGTTGACGCTGGCGTGACTCTGGCAGGGTTTCATGGTGTCAGTTGGGCTTCCTAGAATTGCCGAAGCTGTTTCTGTACGCCCCGTGTTTTTCCTCTCCCCCCCCGCCCCCTTCTCTCATTCTTCAAGGTGAACTTCACGGTAGACCAGATACGGGCCATCATGGACAGAAAGGCCAACATCAGAAACATGTCTGTGATTGCCCACGTTGATCACGGCAAATCAACCTTGACCGATTCTCTGGTATGCAAAGCTGGTATCATTGCCTCTGCCCGCGCGGGGGAGACCCGTTTCACCGACACAAGGAAGGATGAGCAGGAACGGTGCATCACCATCAAATCAACGTGAGTTCCCTCCCTTCAGGCACCTCGGTGCTCCTGCTGCGTGATCTGAGCTCGAGGGCTTTGAGTCCTCCACTGGTTTCATCGAGAGATGAAAGAAGGCGGCGTCAGGCTCTCTCTACTCTAGTTCAGAAGCTCATCGCTTGCTTGTGAGGATCGCTTAAACGAAAGAGCGAATATTGATTGGCTTGTGGCGAATCACAGAGCACTGCCTTGGTGGCCACTGGGAAATAGGTGCTCAGTGGGAGCTTCAGCCTTCCATTTTAGCGCTGGGGCTGTCAGGTGTGCTTGATGTCCGCTGGAGTCTGGCGGATGCGGTGCGGAGACTGCCTTGGGAGCATCTCTGGAGACGTACCAGGCAGCTGTGTCGCCATGGGCGATTTGAGACCCTGAGGGGCATGAAAAGGGATCAGAAAGGAGGTTGGGCCTAGTAGAAAAAGCGTAAATCCTTGATTGGAAGAAATGGAACCCTTTTTGGGCACTTTAAATGGCATGGTTTCGGGAGAGGTTATGGTTTCGGGAGAGGTTATGGTTTCGGGAGAGGTTATGGTTTCGGGAGAGGTTATGGTTTCGGGAGAGCGTAGGAAGGGTAGATTTTAGCCTGCGCTCCTGGTTATTTCCCATACTGGCCTCCCAGGAAGATGCTTCAGGAAATCCTTAAGCCCGGGCGCAGCTGTCTGTGTGGGATGAAAACCTGTTTCTAAGCGTTGGGGAGGGGTAACGTGTAGATAATAACTTTAATGGTTTTTCTTTTTTTCAGAGCTATTTCCCTATTTTATGAGCTCTCTGGAAATGATTTGGCCTTCATCAAGCAAAGCAAGGATGGTTCTGGTTTCTTGATCAACCTGATTGACTCTCCTGGGCACGTGGACTTCTCTTCAGAGGTCACTGCTGCTCTTCGTGTCACTGATGGTGCCCTGGTTGTTGTGGACTGCGTCTCTGGTAAGGTTTTCTGCAGCCATATGCAACTGGAGCATATGTTGGGCGAGTTTGAAGACGGGGATAACTAATTCCCCTGTGTTTGGCAGGCGTGTGCGTGCAGACAGAGACTGTGCTGCGTCAGGCCATTGCCGAGAGGATCAAGCCTGTCTTGATGATGAACAAGATGGACCGAGCACTGCTGGAGCTGCAGCTGGAGCCAGAAGAGCTGTACCAGACCTTCCAGCGCATCGTGGAAAACGTGAACGTCATTATCTCCACGTATGGAGAAGGAGAAAGTGGCCCCATGGGAAATATCATGGTAAGTGGAAGGCTGTGTTCGAAATTAGTGAGAGGGAGCAGTTGCGGCTCTTTCCTGTCTCAAGTGGAGGAGTGAGAGTAGAGTAACGAAGACGCCCGTACTACCCAGGCTTGCGCTGGTTTGGAGCTCTCGCTGGCTTTCCTTCCACGTCTTCTGTTAATTCAAGGCTTGAGCAAATAAAGGCTATAAATATGAGAAAGTCTTTTCTCTCCTTACCAAGGGTGCCCTTGTTTTGTAGGACACCTTCCTGCCCACGTCACATCTGTGATGGCGGGTGATGCGAGATCCTAGGCTCCTACGCAGCATCACTCCCCCGGCAGTCTTCTGAAATGGAAGGGCAGTAGGTGTTTGCCAGTCCCTGCGCTCCGAGCGCCGCTCCCCGCTGGGTTCCTGGGTAGCGAGCAGGGCTGTCGGCTCGGAGGAAGAGCTTGCGCTTTGTTCCTGTTGAGCGCTCTCCCGCATGCTGCAGGCTTTCATGTACTGCCGATGCTTTCCGTGAAGGACAGGAATCTTACCTGCACGCAGAGCTATGTAGCTGCCGAGCTGTCCGAGTACGTAGTTGGTCGAAGTGATGAAAAACCGCTCTAGTCGTGCGGTACAAAGCTAAAACGGTGGGTGTGTGGCCAGGCTGTCCCCAGACCTTGGAGATGGCTACTGTCACAGAACTGCTCGAGGGCCCCATAGTCCCGAAGCTCCATCTTCAAACTCTTTTGGTACTTGAGTTGTTTGGGACTGAGTAGGCTGACTGCTGTAACGCTCCGTGGCTGTAAGAGCTGTGGCTGTTCTTCTGTAACCCAGCTCTCCTGTTCCATTTCAGATCGATCCGGTGCTTGGTACCGTCGGCTTTGGTTCTGGCCTGCACGGCTGGGCTTTCACTCTGAAACAGTTTGCTGAAATGTACGTTGCAAAGTTCGCTGCCAAGGGTGATGCCCAGCTGAATCCATCTGAGCGTGCCAAGAAAGTAGAAGACATGATGAAGAAGCTGTGGGGAGACAGGTGAGGAATCGGGGCTGTTGATTTTAATTCTGGATCAGCTCTGTGGGGCTGCAGCCTGATGCTGTAGAAGACGGGTGAGGAGGGAGGATGTGGTTGCGCCTGCTTACGGCCCTGTCTCAGTGACTTGGTGCGTGTGCTACTGAAAGAACTGTTGCCCATGAAACCTTTGCAGAATAGGAAACACAGATAAATGGGGAGGGGATGGTGAGTTGGCAACATGAGTTAAATGTGTCTTGGCGAGCTCTGAAAACCTGAGAGCGATGGAGGAAAGTATGAAGACGGTTCTTACTCGGCAGCTCTTCCCTCTGGCCTGAGCAGGCAGAACAAGCCACGCTTCTGTAGCTGAACTGGGTGTTGATACTTGTCTGACTCGATTCTTCCTCCAGATATTTTGATCCTGCTACTGGCAAGTTCAGCAAATCTGCTACCAGCCCTGATGGAAAGAAACTGCCCAGGACCTTCTGCCAGCTCATCCTTGACCCCATCTTCAAGGTGAGTTCCTTAGCGTTCAGCCCTTGCCTTAGGCCCTCTGGTTCGGTGATGGTGCGTGATGATGGAAAATTTCTTCACTTTGACCTGACTTGTCTGATTGAAGAAATTTAAATATCTGACACATCTTGTCGCTCTGTGCGGGCAGGGGAGCTCATAGTGGATATTGTGTAGGCAAGTATGTGTCTGAGCCTCCAAATGGATTCGGCTGGGGGATGAGCAAGAACAGAGATTCTCTTTAGAGGCGTTTGTGCTGCTGCTTCAAACTGGGTCACTGGCAACGTTTCCTAACTGCTGCTGTCGTTCCAGGTTTTCGATGCAATCATGAACTTCAAGAAAGAGGAGGCGGCTAAACTGATTGAGAAACTGGACATCAAGCTTGACAGCGAAGATAAGGACAAGGAGGGCAAACCCCTGCTGAAGGTGAGATTGGTCTGAATCGTCTGTGGGGAGGCGGCGAGTAGCTGTGCTGCTCTGACTGCGTAAACTTACTAAGCAGCTACAAACCCTGCTTGGGTGGGAAGGTTGGTAGCTTGGAGGCTGGGGAAGCAGGGGGGGGTTAACTGCCAGGTTGTGAACAGTCTGACCCGGTCTTACTCCTCTGATCTCCGCTCAGGCCGTGATGAGGCGGTGGCTGCCTGCCGGAGATGCCCTGGTGCAGATGATCACCATTCACCTGCCTTCTCCTGTCACAGCCCAGAAGTACCGCTGTGAGCTGCTCTACGAGGGACCCCCCGATGATGAGGCTGCCATAGGTATGACAAGCTGCTGCTTTGCTGCCAGGCGTCTCTTCACATAAGCGCTCAGTGCTCCAACACGCCCGTAGCCATCTTGTTCTCCAAGTACGCAGCTCGGTAGCTACTGTAATTCTTCAGTCTAGCTTTTCTAGTATGGATCAAACAAGCTTACGAGCTTTACTCTGGAGGATAGCTAGCTAAGTAACTGGAGAGTAGCCAGGGTACACACCAAAGGCTCAGGCTGAGCCTCTGTTCATTTAAAACATCTCTTGGCAATGGGATCTTTCTGTCAGGTGGGGCTGGCCAGCCATCTGGACAGTAGTGAATGGGCTGGGACAATAGTGGGTACAGGTCCCATGTTGGGATTCGGGGTGAGTGGGGGGCACAGGGCACGTAGACCCAATGCGAGACATGGTACTGAACTAAGCTGCTCTCTCTCCCTCCCCCCAGGTATTAAGAACTGTGACCCCAAAGGCCCCCTGATGATGTACATCTCTAAAATGGTGCCAACCTCTGACAAGGGACGCTTCTACGCTTTTGGACGTGTCTTCTCTGGTCTCGTCTCAACTGGCTTGAAAGTCAGAATCATGGGACCAAACTACACGCCTGGCAAGAAGGAGGATCTGTACCTGAAGCCGATTCAAAGGTCAGTCCTGACTGGGGTGTGCTCTGCGGTTCAGATTTGTGGTTCTAGTACTGTCTTGGGTCTCTTGTCTCTCAGGCCAGGCCAGGCAAGGCGCTTGGCCGCGGGCTTCAAGTCTGCTGCTGAACTCCAGGATACTGCCCGGTGGGACCTCCTCTTTTAGACTTCATTAAAACAACTTTCTCTTTCGCCAGGACCATTCTCATGATGGGCCGCTACGTCGAACCCATCGAGGACGTGCCTTGTGGAAACATTGTTGGTCTGGTTGGTGTCGACCAGTTCCTGGTGAAGACTGGAACCATCACCACCTTTGAGCACGCTCACAACATGAGAGTCATGAAGTTCAGCGTCAGCCCCGTCGTGCGCGTGGCTGTGGAAGCCAAGAACCCAGCTGACCTGCCCAAGCTGGTGGAGGGACTGAAGCGTCTTGCCAAGTCTGACCCTATGGTGCAGGTGAATGTCCGAAACACTTTTGGGGACAGGAGAAGTCCTGATCCCGCCAGCACGGGAGGCTTCTGCCTTTAATCGCGATTGCACTGGGGGTGCTGGCAGAAGAGTCCTTAATTGAGTACTGGTCCCAGCCCTGCCAGAGTGGGAAGGAATACGTTTCCCCTTGGGGTTGGTGCTGAGTCATCCCCAGCTGGGTGGAAAGAGCATCTAAAAGTAGCTCTGAGTCAAGGACAAAAATCGGAGACAGTTACTAGTGGCTTATGTGCGTTGCAGTCGAAAGCCTCACCTGCTGTATAAATGGTCTTTTCAGTGCATCATTGAGGAGTCCGGGGAGCACATCATCGCTGGTGCAGGGGAGCTGCACTTGGAGATCTGCCTGAAGGATCTGGAAGAGGACCACGCGTGCATTCCTATTAAGGTAGAGGGGCTGCAGCAGCAGAGCTGTTGGTGGGCTCTGAGCCGGGTATCTGGTGAGCTGCCGTTTGGCTGGTGGCTCACTGCTCTGCTCTTTGTCACCGCAGAAATCGGATCCTGTTGTGTCCTACCGTGAGACGGTCAGCGAGGAATCCAACGTGATGTGCCTTTCCAAGTCCCCCAACAAACACAACAGGCTGTACATGAAGGCCCGGCCCTTCCCGGATGGCTTGGCTGAAGACATCGACAAGGGTGAGGTCTCTGCTCGTCAGGAGCTGAAGCAACGAGCTCGTTACCTGGCTGAGAAGTACGAGTGGGATGTCACCGAAGCCAGGAAAATCTGGTGCTTTGGTCCCGACGGCACCGGCCCCAACATCCTCACCGACATCACCAAGGGAGTGCAGTACCTGAATGAGATCAAGGACAGCGTGGTGGCCGGCTTCCAGTGGGCGACGAAGGAGGTAAGGGGCAGCGCCTGGCTCCGGTCGCGGCGGGGCTGGCATCGCTCCGGGGCGGGCGGTGTCATAAACGGCTACTGCACGTCTTTTCGAAGAAATTTCAGAAGACTCGCGTACGGTGCAGCATATTTATAATTCAGAAGTATCTTTTAGGAGAAATGAAACTCACTGGCAGCTGGAGTGAAGATGTCATATCAGTTTAGGTGCCCAAAACACACAGCCTCAAGACAAAAAGCCTTCTCCCAGGACTGCAGAGAAATTCATCGTGGCAGCACGTACTTTAAAATTTTAAAAAGCTTTTTCAGAGAGAGAAAATGCAGCAGCAGGGACAGAAACTATTCAGATGAATAACACAACCGGCATCAAAAGAAAATGAAAGGTACTCTGAGAGCCTCGGCAAAGATCCGGCCTTGTTTACCAGTTATTTTTTCAGGATGAGACAGGAGATGACTCCAAAATAACAAGTTGACAGGTAGACTGGGAACAGCTACAGGAGAGGGTTTTTTTTCCCCATTTACTTTAAGTTAGTCACAGCCTGAAGAAGAAGATACCATGCCAACAACTTTTTTTTTGTCCCAGTAACGTGAAAAACTACTTTTCCTGGCCAAATGCTTGGGTTGCAGCATCGTAAATGTGTGTCAGCGCTTGTGCTGCTGCTGTGAACCTTGGAGCTGTTGCGCGAAGATACTGGTAGATGGTTTCAGTGCCTGAAGCCTTCTCTGAGGAGCTGCAGCGGTGACTCCGAGGCAGCAGTAGCAGGTTCTTAGGTCCTAGGCAAGGAAGGTGACTTGCCGAATGGCTCCTTGCTGTGCCAAGCGAGCTCTTGTGCTTCCTGCCCTAGGACCCGCTTCCACGGAATGCCCGTAAGCCGGGGGACCGGAGCCCTCTGGTAGGGAACGCCAGCTCGTCCCCTGACACGGCGTCGGTTGACCCCCCTGCTCTGCTTTTCCAGGGGGTCCTGTGCGAGGAGAACATGCGTGCCGTGCGTTTCGACGTGCACGATGTCACCCTGCACGCCGATGCCATCCACCGCGGAGGCGGGCAGATCATTCCCACTGCCAGGAGATGCCTGTACGCCTGCGTGCTCACCGCTCAGCCCAGGCTCATGGAGCCCATCTACCTTGTGGAAATCCAGGTGAGGAACCTCCGCTCGGCCCAGAAGGTCCTGCGCGAAGGAAACGTGAGCGGGCGGTTTGCGGTCCTGACACCTCTCTCTTGCAGTGCCCGGAGCAGGTGGTCGGTGGCATCTACGGTGTGCTGAACAGGAAGCGTGGCCACGTGTTCGAGGAGACCCAGGTGGCTGGAACCCCCATGTTCGTGGTGAAGGCCTACCTGCCCGTCAACGAGTCCTTCGGTGAGTGTGCCGGTCCTGGGTGCGCGGCAGCTCCCGGGAGCTTGATACCAACCGTGGGAAGGATTGGAGATCCTTTGTTGTTCAGCTGTCTGATGGCGACGGCTGTAGAATCGTTTAGGTTGGAAAAGAGCCCTGAGATCGAGTCCAACCGTTAACCCAGCACTGCCAAGTCCACCACCGAACCGTGTCCCCAGGCACCATGTCTATATGACTTTTAAACGCCTCCCGGGCTGGTGACTCCACCCCTTCCCCGGGCAGCCTGGTCCGATGCCTGACAACCCTTTTGGTGAAGAAATTTTTCCCAGTGTCCCATCTAAACCTCCCCTGGCGCAACTTGAGGCTGTTTCCTCTGGTCCTATTGCTTGTTACTTGGGAGAAGAGACCGATATCACAGAAGGGTTTGGGTTGGAAGGGACCTCTCAAGGCCATCTAGTCCAACCCCCTGCCGTGGGCAGGGACATCTTCAACTAGATCAGGTCGCTCAGATCCCCCTCCAACCTGCCCTGGAACGTTTCCAGGGATGGGGCATCCACCACCTCTCTGGGCAGCCTGGGCCAGTGCTTCACCACCCTCAGCGTAAAACATTTCCTCCTTACAGAATTGTAGAATCATTAAGGTTGGGAAAGACCTCTACAGTCATTGAGACCAACCGTCAACCCAACGCCACCATCCCCACTAGATCCCGTCTGAATCTCCCCTTTTTTTTTTTTTAGTTTAAAGCCGTTACCCCTTGTCCTGTCGCTGCAGGCCCTGCCAAAGCGTCCCCATCTTTCTTCTAAGCCCCCTTGGAGTACCCAGAGGCTGCAGCGAGGCCTTCTGGAGCCTTCTCCAACCCCAGCTCTCCCCGCCGTTCCTCGCAGGAGAGCTGCCCGGTGGTTGGCATCTCCGTAGCCTTTTGGGACGCCGCTTTGGCTTCCTTGGCCCTAGACGCGTGCCGGTGGTGACCCGGAGGGTGGGGTTCTGCTAGAGGGGACGCCGGACTACGCCCGTTCCCCTTCCGCCTCGCCACCCCCCACCCCTCTCTCTTCTTCCTCGCAGGTTTCACGGCGGATTTGAGGTCCAACACGGGGGGCCAGGCTTTCCCCCAGTGCGTCTTCGACCACTGGCAGATCCTGCCCGGGGATCCCTTCGACAGCGCCAGCCGTCCCTGCCAGGTGGTGGCCGAGACCCGCAAACGCAAAGGGCTGAAGGAAGGC